GTATTACTGGGCTTTTTAAAAAATCTGAAACACCAGTGGCGTTGCAAGTGCATTACCGGCCTTTTGGGAATTGGGAATTTGAGGATTGTGGGATATTCGGGAAGACTGGGGAGAGGGCTAATTGGGCCTCCGATAACCTCGGTCACACGACGAAACACAACGCAAGCGTTGTTTCAAGTCGCCTTTGTCCAATTATAGCAGACAAATCTATACAGCTTAATCTTCTCAGATCTTTAGTTTCCATCACTTTCATATGTCTGGTTATAAAATATAATTTCCCTCAGTCCTGAATCGATCCGGGAATCCCACAACACATCCCTCTTACTAACGACTACCGAATAGTTTTAAACTATAAACTGAACCACAAACTCGATACTATCGACGTACCGTAAAGTCTTCGCTTCGATTCCCGAGCGGCTGTCAGTTAAGCAGACAATTAACTTAAAGTCACCAAGTTTAGTTCTAGTCTCGAAGGTAGCGGGGTTCATTCCCGATGCATTGTTTAATTGACACACAGTTAGCGTGCAGTTAGATAATTGTGACTGGCTTGTGGTTAGTTTAGTTAAATTTAACTTTAGTTGTAATTGTGGATGACTGTTGGTGGTAACAACCATTTGGTTAGGTAGAGTGATTGTTGAGTTCCAGGTATCAGGTTTGCGAACTACGCAAAGTACGACTGGATTTTCTAGACTTCCAGTCGTTATCCTAAGGTTCTTGATGTCATCAGTCAGCACAATGTTTTATTTTTCTATTCTTCAAACTTTATCAAATCACAAAATTCCTATCAATTGATATAATTATCTCAAATATTCGGTGTTTTGAGCAGAGTATTTATCTAGATCTCGTTGGAGAAAAAAAAACCTGGTGGATTTTTACACATACAGGTGTATGTATTACAATGATATTTTTTTCAATCATCACCTAATTCTTAACTGTAGAATTAAATTGAAATTTGACAGTAGTATTGAAGAATACTTTTTTAAAATATTTCCATACACTAGGATTGTCTCCTGTGTCGTGGGTGCGTTTACAAACATACAAATTCACATACACAATGACACTCAGACCCGGAACAACAATTTGTGGATCACACAAAGTGTTGTTCCGTACGGGAATCGAACCCGTGACACGTTGCACGGCAGCCGGTTGCCCAGCCACCGCACCAACCGTCAATTGTCAAATATTCTAAGTTATTCGTCAGTTAAAATGTATCTGGCGTTGGTAAAATATGTCCTATATAATATAACATTACTAATTTGCTTCCCTGAAATACGGACCATACACATCCAGAAGGTCATTTATTCTAATCTCATTAAATTAAATGGAAATCAGACCACGTAGTACCTATCAAGCCTAAAAAAGCCAAAATACTTGGAACAATTCCCTTCCTTATTACATTCACCTTACCATCGGAATTCCCATAAATATTTCTGTGTGAAAATAGCGAATTAAAAATTAACGACTTAACGAGTGTTGGGTAAAAAATACGGGCCTCGACCAGAGGGAGTTTAATTATTACAGCCCCCGGGGTTTTGGGCAAAATTAATTATTACAACCAGCTTTGGTACCTACATGTCTTTTTATTATTTGTAATTTTCGACTGATAATTTTCTTGTTTTGAAAACGTCCAAGCAAAGCCTCTTCTCACATAGAGGAGAGGTTTTAGCATTAATCAACTAGGTTAGAGCATTAATCACCACGCTTGCTCAACGCGGGTTGGCGATTTCAAACTTATAATGAGAAATTATAAGCCCAGGTTTCCTCACGATGTTTTTCCTTCACCGTTTGTCAATGGTGTCTAAATAATCTTAGAAAGTACATATAACTCAGAAAAAGACACAAATAATAGATATTAAAAATGGTTGAACAGTCCCATGATAATATATAATTCTCCAAAGTATACAATTAAAAATCTAGTCAGACTTTAAGATCTTTAAACCAAGTAGGTTTACAAGAAATATACCCAGTACATATTCTCCCAGATAACTGAATTTTTCAGCTGTATTCTGCCAATTTCATGGACTCAAGCAATCCTGCCTTGCATGCAAATAAAATTGTCTAGGTCAGTCCTGAAACTTTCAGCTTTATACTTCAATTTCAGTGAATCTGTATTTTTCAAGTCAAAATGTTATTGTTGGGATTTAAAGTATAACTATTTTTGTTGTTTTATATTTGTATGTAAATGATTTTTTATTTATTTCATAAGTTTGTTTGTATTTACATCTAGTGGAAAATTGAGAATGTATTTATTTTATACATGCTGAATTTTTTTTGTAAGTAAACTGAATGTAAGAATGCAAAATGGGAGTGACATCGGTACAATGCGAGACAAAATTATTAACACACTTTGAAATTGAGAACATTAACGTATCAATAGATGTTCTTGTGATGTTGTAATTGGTCCAAAATGTATTATAAATCTCCATCAATCAACACTGCATAATATAACGTTAACCACACAACTCTATTAACTTATCCCGTAATAAATAAACAAATAAACAACCTCCATACTTACAATGAACAAACCATCATTTGTTTTACGAAAAACAAAAACGGGAACCCCGCAATATCACCAAGAATAGGACGCACTCGAAGCCGTTCCACGGATATTTTTTTTATTAAAACTACCGTCGTCTAATGTCAAATGCAAAATGTTATTACGCCAGCCAGTGTACCACGATTTCAATTCCAACAAGTGGGTTGATATTGCGTACCCACTACACTGGCGTGCATTGTAAAGTGGTGATCGATTTTATATTGGTTTTGCTTTGTAGTTTGTTTGTTTGTTTGTTATCGTTAATGTGGAAAGATGGAGAGGTAGACATGGATAGATTGAATGAGGAATGATATGTAAGAAAAAGGAGTTTGTGATGTAATGACGTCTGATAGGAGAGAATGAAAAATGAGATGTTATTATTGTACTGATTCCAAATAAATTGAGATAATAAATTCAGATACCTCGTATGTGTTCGTTTATTTACTCCCAGGTGTATATTTCGTAAAAAAAATGAAAAATACAACACCTCAAATCTTTTCCCATTTTGGATATCAAACATAAGTTCCTATGCACACCAGTGTCAATTGGGTAGTTTCCAGGGTATCAAAATTAAAAATCTAATTAGTCCGTCAGTTAGATAATGAAAAAATATTAGACACATATTTTTTTATTTTCTCGTATTAAGTTGCAATACTTAGATAAAATAGCGCTAAGTTTATGAGTGGTAGTTACGTCATAACGTGCTACAAAATGTGGCACGCTGTGACGTCACAGGATATTTCAAATTAATATATAGTCGAAAGTATTTAATTTTGTGAGGAAAAAATACGTATCTAAAGTTTTAAATTAATGTACTAGACGGACATTAAAATAAAATTTAGGAAACTATCCTATTACAGCATGAAGAAATAATCACCAGAATGCCAAACTATTGACATTTAACATTATTGTGATAATGAAAGATGAGTATTCAAATCATTGCATCGTTACATTAATCTTGCACCTTCGGGTATTAAATCAAATAAATTAATTATTCTGTTACTCTTTATAGACGGGGATTTATGATCTAGTGGCTAATGGCTAATGGCTAAAGATAAACCCTATAACCTTGTTTTAGTGCTTTTAATATAATATATAGGTTACCTGAGTTGTTCTGTGTGTTGTAAGATTTTTAAGTGCAACGTACGTGCTGGAGTAATCTTTAGGTTCTACAAGGTGTTGTTTTAAAGCCGCGTCATTTTCTAGGAAGTAACTCGGCTATCGATTCTGAGTCTGAATCAATAAAAAAAATTGTAGGTAAATATTTTTAATTTTTCTGTAAATTACGAAAACCCGTAAGTGCAAACTACACGCCGCCGTCTTGTAACTAGTTTTATAACGCGGCTTAACACACACAAACTCAAACACGTAATTGATATTCTTCCTAATTCCATAAAACTCCAATAAGAAACATTGCTGTCGCTTATTCTGTAATGCTGTCGAACTGAAACGATTTATTATAGTCCTATTTATAACTATTGACCCAAAAATTTCTCTTACATTGAACCTTTATGACTTCTGTGACATGCCCCCGAGAAATGACACGGTTTCAAAACTACACCTTGTATTTCACCGGGGGCACTATAGCGGCGCAACCAGCTGCTACCAACATAACGTATACAACGCTATAGGGAGTTACTCACCTGGTGTCCGTCTGGTTACGCAACCAATACTACTGCTCGTCCAGGTCAGACGCCAGCACAGAATGTTTCTGGTGGCACATCCACCCTGGTCCCGACACCATTAATTACTACAGCGCTGTTTGGTGTGTTACTTTCTCAGCCGCCAGTCCGCCAGTGAAATATAGCCCTTAGAGTTTGCCATGTGGTAGAGTAGAATACCAACTTATATGTATGTCACTCACCATTAGTCTTCTCGCGGGTGTAATAACCGATGCTAGAATCGTTGGATCGGCCTCTGTTTTGAGTATGAAGTGTATCACTTCATACAATCAATGACAAAAGTCGATCTTGATTCACTGATCTTGGATTGAAATCGATTATTGGTTTGTTTCGACTGTAAGTGATATACATAGGTAACAGAAACGCGGCAGCAGCGTTCTCTGATCTCTTAAACTGCGATCAGACCCATCAGATCACCACGGATGGGGCCCAATGGGGCTGATGCCGATACGGAGCCGCGGAGGACTTAATGGCTTGCCGGTGCTCCGGTTTGAAGTGCAGGAGTAGGAACGTGGGTGGTTTATAGTCAGTAAGAGTCTGACGTCTCTTGTCTACCCACAGTGGGAGAAGTTATTGGTTCATTTCTCCCCTTAAAAAAGGAATGTGCTCTAATAAACCTGATCTTTTTAATTTATGATCACCAACTTATAGGCTAGCGTGATAGCACACCGCTCTTTTATAGCTGAAGCCCATCATCTAGTAGCTGTGAGTCCACAGCCTGTTGATGATGATGATGATGATGTATATTTCAATATTAATATTCTTTCTGTTTGTTTGTTACAGGACGTCATTCACACAATCAGCACACCACACGGTCAAGTACAGAGAATCGTAGTGTTCAAGAAAAACGGAGTACAAGCCATGGTTGAATATCCTTTTCAATAGAAATATACTCTCTTTAGTTACTTTTCTATATTGTATAAGTAAATTAGATAACTATGTCAGAATTATCATCAGCCAATTAGTCAATTTAAAAAATCTAATAACATTACGTATCGCGGAACAATCATTGATGTATTTGTGTTGTACGCGCATTCGATTCATAATTATGAGTCCCGATACAGCTCGAAATTAATCGAGAGATTTTACTTTAGTCAACTCTATCTAGGTTTCCTTAGTAAATGAACTATCCAACACAAAAAGAATTATTCAATTCGTATCAGTTATTCCGGTAATTAATGCGTTTAAACAAACAGACAAACTCTAATGTAGATTAGTATTAGATATCTCATATTATTATTCTATAGTTACTCGAAGTTCTAACGTATTCATGATGACGAAAAAGATTCAAATGCAATGAAAATGTAACACTAATCAATAAACAAATTGCTGCTTTTTGGAAAACAAATTCCATGTTTAAAAATATATATATTTGAAATTAGAATTCTTAGCCAAACAAAAAAAATATTTTGATTTGATATGGCCAGCACTGCAGAAGGGCAATTTAATACGTAAAGACCTAATATTTTTTTTTATGTGAAAATTTTTTTATCGCTTTAACTAATATTTCCGTGAAACTAATTAATATTAATATTATAAATACAAATAACTAAAAACTATTACTTACCTTAAAAAAAATTGCCTCGTCGCCATCGTGAGGTAGGTTGCCCAAAAGACTTTTAATGCCATTCAACATGGCGACATTGCCACGTTGAATGGCAATGCCGCTTAAGATTTTCGGCAGCTGCAGCGGCAGCACCGGCTCGACACACTGAGCTTGGAAGATGGGATGGCGCCAGAGTCTCAACGCAAGTGGCGTCCCGTACTAAATGCCTACCCATCTTCCAAGGAAATAATGGCATACCGTTGGGTCATATAATATTAATAATAATTTAATTAAAAGTTATATCAAATCAACCATGTAGTTATTACTAATTTTACGACTCGATCTAATTACAAAATTGTAATGTTATTAATAAATTGTTGTTGTATCATTACGTGCAACGTTTACGGCCGCCATTAAACTAAATTTTACACCCAGACGCTATTACTTTACGGTTTATTACGCGGTAAAAATATTGCTTTTTGATTAGTAATTAAAAATTTAGAGCAAACTGTTTAGTTACGTAGCTTTATATATTATGTCAAGAGGTGTAGTGATGGCAGGATATAATACATTAGTCACCATCCCTACTCTTTCCGTGGGTGTGGTATACCCGACTAAGGGATTACACGTTTGACAGAAACCAGGCCGCAACGCTCTCGGATAAACGTGAACTTTTTAACTGCAGTCTCTAACACGCCTACCAAGCTTGGCGATTGTGATAACCTTATGTAGATGAGACCCATATTCCAACAGTGGATTGTCAATGGGCTGTTTATCATACCTTTAAATTCCAAAAAGTCAGTCTCTAGTAAAAATGTAGTTTAGTAGATACTAAAAGAACAATCAAAGAAAATCAATAAATACGTACCTATACCTAAAACTAAAACAGTGAATAAAAAAGAAAAAATGAACTAATAAAAATTGCCACAATTAGGCGTCAAAGAAATCGTCTACATCACTGTCACCGGGGAAAGTTCCCAGAAGACTGCATTGCCACGTTGAATGGCAATCTATGTTTTGACCAAAAAAAGAAATAGCCAGCAGTTCTGGGCCTTTAACCAAACGCCACTTTCGCACTTGTCTACAGAGAGAGTAGAAATCAAAATGTATGGGGATGACACTGACAAGTGTCAAAATTTACGTCAATTCCATATAATTTGGTTTTCTATTCTACATGTAGACAAGCGCTAAGTGGTATTAAGCTACAGTTGCTGGTCACGAATAGAGTCGATTAGTCAACGGGCAATTTCTTTAAAAACAGTTATCCTTTGAGTACCGTCATTATAGACACGATTGAAGAACAATAGGTTGCGGTCACCGGTGTCCTCGCGGTGTTTGATAGTTTAAATATTTTATTGATTGTTGCGAAAATCTTTCTATATATAATAAAAATGAAACCCGTTTCCCGTTGTCACGCCATAACTTGAGAACGGCTAGACCGATTTAGATGATTTCTTTTTTGTTGTGTTTGTTATCGTCAGGAGAAGATTCTTATGATAGAAAAAAGTCCTGACAATCCTACGGGAATGGGAGAAACTGGATTGCGCGTACGAAGTCGCGGGTAGAAGCTAGTATAAAATAAATATATGTTGAAAGCAAAGGTCGTACAATATTATTTATAACAACTATGACTAATGTTGGCATTACAAATGACTTTTATGTGAAAATTCTCTATGATGCGCGTGAGTTGGTCTCTGTTATGAAATGCCTTTGATATGAATACCGTTTCAAAGCGCTGTCTCCAAACTAAATGGACGTATTTATTTGTGAATTTGTGCGCCATTTAATTAATGGTAATAATGTAAGGTAGATTAATATGTAATGTTTGTATTAGTTTTTTTATTTTGCCCATACTAGAATTTTCTCCAGTGTCGTGGATGCATTTACAAACGTACAAGTTCACATACACATGACACACAGACCCGGAACAACAGTAGTCTAATAACTGTAACAGTAGTCTAATTATTATACAATTAATGTAACAGTAGTCTAATTATTATACAATTATGGTAAATTATAAATACTAAAAAATTATAAATTACAATTTGTGGATCACACAATGAGTTGCTCCGTGCAGGAACCCGCGACATCTTGCGTGGCAGCCGGTTGCCCAGCCACTGCACTAACCGTGTTGTCAATCAATTGGTAGACTATCCATCAAAAATTAATGCATATAAGTGCCTATTTATTAGCGTAGGTTCAGTGAATTATAAAAATAAATCATCATAGAGAGTAGATGATAATTCACAATTGATGGAAGCCCACAGGCTTCCCCTATCTAGGAGGAGATTGCCATATTGTCTACCCTGGCACTCTTGTTGTACTTAGAATCTTAGATACTATTCCTCTCAAACTAAAGTTTAACTGTATATTAACTACGTTAAATACTGTCTCGTTGGCCGAGTGGTCGCAAGAGTGAGTGCTGGGCAAGGGATCTCAGGTTCGATTCCCGGGTCGGGCTCAGTAGTGGCACTGAGTCAAAATCAAAAATTAAAATCATTTGCTAGAGTTGAGTCTGGAATTGTACCCGTTATATAGCAATAGGCTCACTCCCTATTACAAGGGACTTAACAGTGCCGTAAGTATACACCTCTGCCTACTCCTTCGGGGATAAAATGCGTGATGTTATATTATTACGTTAAATCCTAAGAAACAAAAGAAAAACAATACAGACATTAAAATATATTCGAAATTCGATAAGTTTATTTAAACAAAAACGTATTTCGACAGGCGTCTCTTTAATATGGCGTCCGGAATTTTCAATAGTATAAATAAACGGCCGAACGAATCCATATGATTTACAGTTCGAATTGTAAGCGTGCGGAAAATATTTGCGTTTGAATTATTGGTAACACGTGGCGTTGTGACGGGGTGTCTGTTACACCGTAGTGTAGTACGCGAACCTGTATTAAGTAAGATAAAGTAAACATATAATTAGATTAGATATGGGATTGTATAGGATAGGGGCTAGTCAAATTGTAAAGCGGTGATTAATCTAATTAGATTGTATTGTTAGTACTATAATTGGTGACAAGTGGAAGTTACATTGTGTAATTATGCGCACTGCCTATTCGTTTTTTGTCAGTACCTAAATAGAACGATCTTCTAGAGTTAAGTTAATTTCTGTTTTATTATTACTGTAAAATTTACTGTAACGTTTTATCCAATTCAATGATCGAACTCGTTATCTTAAATTTATGACAAGGGCACAAATCAAGAGTCCGTGGAGAATTTTACATACATTAAAAAAAAACTCGTAATCTTGAGCTAAACTACACGATCAAGTCTAAATCAAATACTTTTGATATTAACAAGAAACTACTTAATACGTTTTCATATAAACACGATAACAATCTAGTAAACTATGTCGTATGTATTTCCAAATCAATACCATTGTAAACGTTGTGTACCATTTAATAAACAACTTGTAAACTTGATTGATGATTGTATTAACATCAAAACGTGTTGCTTTGAATGTTATGCTACATGTTACAACATGCGACATGTTTGTCGCTTTGATTTTTATGTTATATGTTACAACATGCGACATGTTACGCTTCGGTGTGATAAACGGTCGACAAGGCCAGCAGTGCGTCGACTTGTGTTTTAAAGAATAGTAGGTAATAAAAAATAGTTTTCATTTTTAATATTTCATTTATGAATCTTAGTTTATTTGTTTGTTACTGTTTTCTACCTAAATTGCTGTGTAGGTTTTGATAAGTTTTGGCATATGCATATTATCTATATTAATAAAAATAGAACACCAAAATACTATATGTACGCCCCTAACTGTCGCATGTCTGCATCGAATTGCACAATTCTTCTTTTGTCGTGGTCGTTAGCATTAGCACAAAGTTTGTATTAAAGAAAGATGTGATACATTCATCAGGAACATAGGGAAACAGCATCCAGCCAGATGAAGTTAGGGTGGGCCGCTAGTATGTAATAAAATATTAGTATTTGTAAAAATGACTGCCTCGTTGGCCGAGTGGTCGCAATTGCGACTGCCGGGCAAGGGGTCTCGGGTTTTATTCCCGGGTCGGGCAAAGTATTACTGGGTTTTTAAAAAATTATCAGTAGTAGCACGGAGTCTGGAATTGTGCCCGGTATATGGCAATAGGCTCACCCCCTATTACATGGCACTCATAACATAAATAGTGAAAAGTGGGTGCTACATTGTACAGTGGTATAATGTGCACCTCTGCCTACCCCTTCGAGGATAAAAAGCGTGATGTTATGTTATTTGTAAAAATTAGAAATGTTTTTGCTGTCAATAATTTTACTACGATAAATAGCAAAAGAATTGTAATACTTTCCCCAATTATTAATAATCTGTAGAAGATAAAATTCCTGTAGAATGTCAACGACTCAATAAGAAAGCGAATTTTGCAAATATAATAATGCACCCTAATCCCGTATTCGAACAACGGATCCGTGGAGTAGTACTAGTAATAAAATCTTTGTTTAATTACACTTTCTCCATATTTTTTCGAAAGGGACTTTTATTCAAATGACTTAGAAGTTTTCACCCAAATTGGAATATAAGTTGCGACGTCTGTGATTCCAGGGTGCGGGCTTTTTCATAAGCGGAGCGGGTAGCGAGGTACAACAATGAAACTGGTTTTATGATCTTTTATTTGTGGTTTATTAAATAATAATAGTTGAGTAGTAAAAAATAATAGCTTTCGTGAAACTACATATTTCGCCTCTTAAAAACGAATATCCCTTTATACATTTTTTCGGAATAGGTTAGAAGGCAACCACGCAGACGGCTCATTAGGTTGTGCGTACTGCTAATGAGTGGAATTCTTTGCCAGCGTCTGTATTACTTGAGGGTATAATCTGGGTGTCTTCAAGACCAGAGTTAATACGTTGCTTATGGGACAACCGCATCATCGTTTACCACCAGGCGAGATAGTGGTCAAACTTCAGCCCATCGAATATAAAAAAAAGATGGTAAACTAACAACACTGGCAATCCACACCCACAACACCAGAGGAGTCGCTTCCACGTAGCGACTATAAAACGCCATTCCGTGGCACCTGTAGACGTAAATTACTTTACAATATAGTACTTAAACTTCAAATAGAACATTTTAGTTCACCTTAAACTCGACAGATGGCTCTCAACGCAAGTTATCCGTATTTAGATATAACTTGATCACAGTAATCCAGTTTCCTACTAAACGAGGTAAATCAGCTATGCTACGGCTATCTATTAACTAACTGGTTTAGTTAGCCCTTGGTTTAACAGTTTAGCACTATAGCCTTGTAAAGTTATTTGCAAGGCTATTAGGCTGTTTGATATTATGAGTTCTCTCTCTCTCTTCAGTCTCTCTCTGTCTCTCATCATCACTTTTTTTATCTCTGGAGAGGTAGTAAGGGTGCATATTACGGCACTTAATGCCACTGTACAATGTAACACCCACTTTTCACTATTTATGTTATGAGTCCCATGTAATAGGGGGTGAGCCTTTTGCCATATACCGGGCACAATTCCGGGCTCCGTGCTACTAATGTCCCTGTAGTACTTGGCCCGATCCAGGAATCACGAGGTTGTCTGGCAAGCAGAATCCTGAATCTGTATTAATAATTTTCGCGTGGTAATTGGTAATACGCTATTTAATCCAAATACATTCAGCCGTTCTATCGTTATTTTACCTATTGAAACATTCATTTTTTCATACTACCAACTGAGTTTGGAATGAATAACAAGCTCAACAAAATTGAACTATCATTACAACTTGAGAAAGAAAAATTGTTCATTATTGCGTTTAACTAACTATAGTTAGAAGTAAACATCCAAATAGATATGTTATTTAAATTAGCCAGTAGTCGTTTTTCAATACATCATCGTCCGCCGCCTCTCATCACTAAAAACACAACCTTATCTTTATTACACAAAATGGCTCCCGTCCCGAAGATATTTGAATAATACCGATGTCTCCGCGACTTAATCGTTCAATAACATTATGACAGAAGTAATCCGATTTCAGTATCATCAAACTTTATCTCCAAATGGTAGGCAGAAGTCTGAATGTTTTACAATAGCTATAGAAATGAAGACTTTGCTGACAATTGGATTTGACAATGGTTGTTGTTTATTTGAATGCTTGCAATGGTTAAGTTTTGAAGAGCTTCGTTTTGATCTTTTGGTGAATATAAGGTATTTTGGAACTATTTTGAAAAGTCTCCTTTGTTTCTTATCGTCTGGAATAGTGACCAATATTTACGTACTAATCATCATCACGCCTTTTATCCCCGAAGGGGTAGGCAGAGGCACACATTACGGCACTTAATGCCACTGTACAATGTAATGCCCATTTTTCACTATTTATAAGTCCCATGTTATAGCGGGTGAGCCTATTGCCATATACCGGGCACAATTCCAAAAAAATACCAGCAATACTTTGCCCGACTCGGGTATCGAACCTGAGACCTCTTGCCATACAGTCACACTTGCGACCACTCGGCCAATGAGGCAGTCAATGTTTACGTCACTTTTACAATAGCAATTTTCAGTAGAAAATTTTGCAACTAATATTGTGATAAATGAATTTATGAGCTATATACAAGGTGTAGTTTTGAAGCCGTGTCATTTCTCGGGGGCATGTCACAGAAGTCATAAATGTTCAATGTAAGAAAAAGTTTCGGGCCAATTGTTAAAAATACGACTATAATAAATCGTTTAAATTCGACAGTATTTCAGAATATGCGACAGCAATGTTTCTGATTGGAGTTTTATGGAATTAGTAATAATATCAATTACGTGTTTGAGTTTGTGTGTGTCAAGCTGCGTTATAAAGCTAGAAACAAGACGGCGGCGTGTAGTTCGCATTTACGGATTTCCGTAATTTACAGAAAAATGAGAAATATTTGCCTTCAATTTTTTATATTGATTCGGACTCAGAATCGGTAGCCGAGTTACCTCCTAGAAAATGACGCGGCTTTAAAACAACACCTTGTATACTTCAAATTGAACTTTTTTAGGCTGATGATAATTATGACTGTGGGTAATCTTATACTATTATATAAAGCGGAAGAGTTTGTTTTTTTGTTTCTTTGTTTGAACGCGCTAATCTCCGTAACTACAAGTCTGATTTGAATAATTATTTTTGTCTTGGATAGCGCATTTATCGAGGATGGCTATAGGCTATAAAACTTCACGCTACGACCAATAGGAGCTGAGCAGAGCGTGTAAAACCGCGTGGAAGTAGCTAGTACACAAATCATTTATTTGTTAATTTTCTTAGTATTCAGTTTAAGTTATTCTAAACACGTTAATTGATTTTCAACTATACCGTTTTGTAATAGAGTTGAAAATCTATTTGTATTATTGTTGTGATATTTTATTGTGTATATTTTTCAAACAATTTCCTTAACCCCTGGCTACAAATTTGAAAGTGTGGAATCTGCGACGAGAGCTAAGGAAGCACTTCACGGCTGTGACATATATTCCGGATGTTGCACACTCAAAATCGAGTTCGCTAAGGTAAGATTTTATACTTCATTCCTATAGATGTAAGGTTTAGTTTAGCTTGTTAGTGTGGTTAGGGTAAAGACACCTGTATGTGGTTTTGTTTTTAATATGTGATTGATTTTGAAACTGCCTAAATAAGAGTATAAAAGTCACGAGGTTTAGTGTCTGTGCTGGTTTCTATAATATGGCCACAATAAGACACCGGTACAAATTACATTCTCTAAATTGAATTTTGGTGAATGAAATTTAGGGAATCTATAATGGTATAATAAAAAATGAATAACCAAATTCTCATACTGAACTAAATAACTCCCCAATTTCACTAAAGTGACATTTCTCTTGCTCACTCCTAAACACACCTCACCTACGCACGTCTAGACGTATAAGGTAGCTACACAATTATCGTCCATCGGTCAGTAACTCTATCCGCCAGGGGGCGCTTAAGTGACTCAGGAACGCAACGTTTACCCTAGTGTAAAGTTACAACAAGTGCTTTTACTCAAAGGACGAAGTGATGACGAGATTTGGTGTTTTTACCCTAGTGATTTTTTTAAGTGATTGGTGATTTTTTTTTCAGGATGGGTTTAATTAGTATAACATACTATCGGACAGTTCTTTTAATTAAAAAGATGTAGGTCTTATCTGATCGATTTGTTAAAACTATAGCAATAATACAATAGTAGCTTCACACTTTAAATTTTTTGTTGACATTCAAAAGTGCCTTCCGGGTCTAATTGAAATTACTCAATGATTTTGATTTTTGACTTTGGATATCTTGCAAAAATATGTATACTCATGTTTATGGCAGTCCTTCAAAGGTAGTGTAAAATGAAATGGTATTTTACAACATCAAAGTTCCTCTTAATTCATAGAAATGTAACGTAACATAACATAACATCATGCCTTTTAACCCCGAAGGGGTAGGCAGAGGTGCACATTATACCACTGTACAATGTAACACCCACTTTTCACTATTTATGTTGTGAGTCCCATGTAATAGGGGGTGAGCCTATTGCCATATACCGGGAACAATTCCAGACTCCGCGCTACTACTGAGATTTTTTAAAAACCCAGTAATACTTTGCCCGACCCGGAATCGAACCCGAGACCCCTTGCCCGGCAGTGGCCATTGCGACCACTCGGCCAACGAGGCAGTCAGTTCACGTTTTAGGATTTGCTAAAATGTTTTGAACTAGCCCAACATCTGATTTATTCAACTTATATTTTCTAATAAATGATTCCCTTTCATTATTGTTCCTGGTACATTTCATTAGCAAATATTGTACGTCCTCTAATTTGTTGCATAATTTGCAATTAGGTGATGCAATTCTTACCGGTGGATAGTGCCCAGAACGCAGCCTTAATGCTAACTTCACCCACATCTGGAACCCCACACTACATCACAATTGAATACCCAATTATCATACAGACCAGTTTTTATTAAACTCGAAGAATTTCATTTAACTCAATCTCATTACAATCAGATCCAATTGGAGCTCGTCAAAGCGGACGACACACAGAAGTGACGTGTCCGTGCAATTTTGCTTACTCGCCTTTTTACGCCGTGAGCTAGGATTGTGATGAAAAAAATGGCGACTGCAACGCCCCGCGATCGTGTAGCGGTGGGTAGTATGATAGGGATCGGGTGACCATTATTTTGGGACGATAGGTAATATTGTTGTGCCTTTAATGCTTGTAAAAAAGAAAGTGTCAAGCGAAACGTGTGTTGTTGATAACTAATCTAATCATTGTGCTTTTAGGCTTAATTCATTCTGTCTCCTGCAGTAATTCACCGAGGGAAGTGGAAACCATAGTTTTTTCTTCTTCTCCACTTATAATATCTTCTGATTCACTTCGTTGCGGGAACCAAGACAGTTACACATGTCCCTGGGACGCGCCGGACTTCAATGTTCCGGTGTTTTCATGGTTGTATCTACTGTAGATCCTGGTTTACAGCAGCGGTTTTGGGAGGTTGTGGCGGGCTTGTCCCATTAAAAAAAAACTAATCTAATCAATGTGAAACTATTAATCAATGTGATCGTGTTAGTGCGCGTAAAATAAGCTTTTTGGCAACTTTTTGGAAACTACCACATATGTTACAAATAGAATTAACACTGCAAAACCGACGTGAAACAACGCTTGCGTTGTGTTTCGTCGTGAGAGTGAGGTTACAGGAGGCCCAATTTCTCCCCGATTGGAAAGATTGGAAGGGCTCCCCAATCTCCCCAATTCCTAAATCCTCAACAAAACTCATATTCCTAATCCACAAAAGACCGGTAACGCACTTGTAACGCCTCTGGTGTTCCAGGTGTCCATAAGCGACGCCGATTGCTTACCAGCAGGTGATCCGTATGCTGGTTTACGAGCTCATCCCATAAAAAAAATTGCAACCTACACATCTAAGTAAGGTGATGTTCTGTAAATTAGCATGGTAGAAAATTTATATAGGTTAAAATTCTGAAATACCCTACGAAAGAAAAGACAAAAATTTTTTCCTTACTTTAGTAAACTTTTAAGTTTGGTTTGTTTTCCCAAATCGAGCAAAAATTTACGACGTTTTTATTATGATATTCAGCCTACAATATGGCTCATAACCGGCTTACATATAGGACATATCATACAATCTTTATGCAGGAATATCTCTCTATGACAAGTCTCATAGTCAACCTACTCTCCTGTTAGGTCGGGGACTTCATTTGACAGCATTGTTCGAAATAGCCCATCTTTTTATTCGATTCCCGTCCCCTATGGTGCTTGTGTTCGATGATATTTTATAATTTTGACAAATTTATTTTGAAATGTAGTAATAACACGTTAAACGCCATGGGGGTCACCGGTGACCGACGTTAGCGGAGGATTTACCTTCAACAGTTTTGTATTGGCAGTAAAATGATTAAGTTATTATTGTCTTTGGAGTATTGTAATGAAATAAATTCTATAGTAATATTTCAAAAAGGCCTGAAATTATTTGAAAATCGGTCACAAGCGTAGCTTAAAACTTACTATCATTTTTTGTGCAAAAACGATTTATATTTTTCCAATGAAAGTAGCTTTTACCTTTATTTCGTTTCAATATAGCCTTAAAAGTATTTCGAAATGTCGAATAAAAATAAAAGCGATATTTTAAATTTAAAACGATAAAATAAAGCTTGTATCGCTCCAAACACACTTCCAAGCCCTCTTTAGCAATTCAGAAAAATGAAGAGTGCACCAGTTTACCAGACACCCGCTGTGGCGCGGCGATCCAATAAAAAAAAACGTTCAATTCGAATTTCGAATGCGAGCTATTTGCTTGACAACCGTCGCGCTGTTTGGACGTGTGTCGTGATCGTAAGAATGAAAATTCTGCGTTTAAATGCTCCGTGTTCTCGTTTCAAATTGGATTTTATAGTTACGATTTAACAGGTGCCACTTGACAAATGTGTCGAGTGGTCACTAGGGTGACTCCCGATCAAGAGTCCTCTGGTTCGACGCTATCAGACTTAGGTACTGTTACTGCTATGCTATCATAACATAACATCACGCCTTTTATCCGCGAAGAGGTAGGCAGAGGTGCACATTATACCACTGCACAATGTAACACCCACTTTTCACTACTTATGAGTCCAATGTAATAGGAGGTCAGCCTATTGCCATATACCAGGCACAATTCCAGACTCCGTGCTACTACTGAGAATTAAAAACCCAGTAAATCTTTGTCCGATCCGGGAATCGAACCCGATACTCCTTGCCTGGCAGTCGCACATGCGACCACTCGGCCAACGAGGCAATCAGCTTTGACGTTAGTATCGCTAAATCACAAAGTTGTGTAAGACGAGAGCTTTCGTGCCGGCTAACCTGTTGTAACGACTCGCTAAAAGCTCTCGTTTGAAGAGCTCCATGCAAGAAGCTCGTTGCTGTACACTGCTAGGGTTGTCACGTGTCGGAAAATTGTATGTAAAAGTTATGCTCGAAATGAACGGTGTTTGAAATGAGTGTTTAAAAATATTTTACAGTGTTTTTATTACCTCTAAGATAGATTGGTGTAGAAGTAAGAAAAACTTGAGTAAATAATTATTATGACTTTTTGAGATTACCTTTAAAGGAACTGAGTAGAGTTCCCTAAGATCGGAAACGGAGGATGGTCCGACCAGGCGCGGTGTTCGTGCCTGGTCGGGCTTTCTGCCCAATAGTTGCTCGTTGGGATTTTCTATCCGTGTTAATTCGCATGTAAACTTTGCATGTACGATGTAGGATCTTATGACGTCATCCATTGATTTGTTTTTTATCAATGGTCTACGTATGTGAGCTGTTATTTGGTATATGACATGTGTCGCTACAACTTAATCATTCCTTAATGCGATTCATTTAATAAATATATAAATCATTAATGTTCATACCGACTCGTAACATATTTATTTATGATTCTTCTAAAAACATATCATAAATAACGGTATTATGCTCATTATTCGTAACAAGGAAAACATCATCTTTCTCAATATTTTCCTCCTAAAAATTCTATACAAACAAATTTATCAAAAAACGACAACAATGTCGCGACATTATACTATTTTTCAACAAAAGATCGACCTGCACAAAAATAGCTTTAAAAATACACAAATTGCAAAATCGTGGCACGTGACAGCCCTGACAATATGACCCCTTACACAATCGATCCCGGCTTCCGTACACAACATAATAGGGTTGACAATACCCCGCTAAACGTTCTATTATTGTGACACCCCTCGTCTTAGTAACACTAATGGTACATTTTTTGGGTATAAAACACCCCAATACACGTTTTAATACAATTATAGTTCAGGTGAGGGGTTGATAATATGGCGTTTTTGTTGTTAGGGGCGAGTTACTAAACGTCGAGGGTTGTTTCTTATGTCGTATTATGACGTAACATGATACTGAAAATTCACCGAGGGAAGTGGCAACTATAGTTTTTTCTTTCTCCTCTTATAATATTTTCTGATTCACTTCGTTGCGGGAACCAAGACAGTTACTCATGTCCCTGGGACGCGCCG